TTGTTAAATTTAATTAAAGATAAGTGATGTTTTAATCTTCTTCTTCTTCTGGTTCCTATCCGTTTCGGATGTTGAAAATCATATTGGCAATCATAACCTTGCTCGCTGCGGCTCGAAACAGCTCCGTTGAGGTTTTCTTAAACCATGTTCTTAAATTCCGCAGCCATGATATTCCCTTCTACCGGGTCCTCGCTTACCTTTGACTGTACCTTGCAATATAGACTGTAGAGGGAGTAACGGTGCTGATTTCTCATAACGTGTCCCAGATATTGCATTTTTATGCGTTTGATCGTAAACACAATCTCTGGTTCCTTCTGAATTTTTCCTAGAACTTCTTTGTTCGTGATCCTTGCTGTCCATGATATTCTTAGCATTCTTCTATAAAGCCACATCTCAAATGCTTCAATTTTTTTAATAGTGGTGTCTGTAAGCGTCCATGCCTCCGCCCGTACAACAACACAGAGAAATCATAGCATCTCAAATGCCTCATTTTTTTATCAAGGGATATGTTGTGACTTTTGAAGATGGCGCTCATTTTGTTAAAGACCGTTCTTGCCTTTCCTATGCGGCACTTTATTTCTGTACATTGCTCCACTGTTGTTTATAATAGTTCCCAGGTAGCAACACTGTTTTATTCGCTCTATCTGCGTCCCATTAATGTATAGATGAGCCCTGTTTATATTCTCCTTGCTGATAATCATCTGTTTCATTTTGTGGGTATTAATGTTTAGTCCGTACTGTTGACTGTACTCGTTTTTTCTGTCCATTAGCCTCTGAAGTCCTCTAAAACTATCTGCTATCACCATGGTGTCGTCGACATATCTAACGTTTGTTTATTCTTTCACCATTTAGAAGGATGCTTCGTCTATTCCGTAAAGAGCCTCGTTAAAGTACATATTAAATATCAACGGCGATAGGATACATCCCTGTCTAACTCCACGTAGTATTTTTATGTGATCTGTTTCTTCTCCGTTAATTTTCATGTATGCGGTCTGATTCCAGTAGAGTTCTGAAATTATTCTGAGGTCTTTGTCATCCAGGTCTGCCTCTTTTAAAATATTTATCATCTTTTGATGTTGAACTCTGTCAAATGGCTTTTCATAGTCGATCAAGCACGTGTATACGTCGTAGTTAACGTCCCTGCATCATTGAATCAGTACCTGTACCCCGAAATGTTCCTCTCTGGTACCCACTGCGTTAATGAAGCCGAACTGTCCGATATTTGTTCCTCGCATTTCTTATAAATTCTTCCATGGATGACTCTAAGAAACAGTTTCAACATGTGGCTCATTAGGCTGATTGTTCGATATTCTTCGCACTTTTTAGCCCCTGTTTTTTAGGTATCGCTATGAATTCTGATTTTAGCCATGATGTTTTAATATTGTTGTGTAGATGTTTTAATATTGTTGTGAAAAAAAATAATACTCTACAGCAAGCTGAAGTCTCCAGAGACCCGAAACCAAACCCTGAAGGAAAAGTGGATGAGTAAAATAAGGTGTAGTAAAAACAGTATGAAAAGGATGATGTGTGGAAAAGTAGGTAAAGACGTATGATAATGAATCATTTAGAGGGGATGTGGAACAATATGCTCTGAATTTAGTTTTTCGACAAGGAGCATGAAGAATGTTAGGTATAGGGTCAGACTTGACGCTTAGATTCCTAAAAAGAAGTAGGGAAATATGGGGAGTTGGATATATTGAAAAAAAGTTTAAGAGGATTAATAGGTGACAAGAGAAGAACGAAAAATCTAAATACTAATGAAGAAGTAAAGTGAGAATGTGGGTCATGAGAATAGTTGACGATGGAGCGGAAGATTTAATGAGACATGGCAATTAACACAATTTGAATTTCTCCGTTTTTCCTTAATAATTTCTAGGTCTTCATATAAGTGTAGTTTAAGAAAGTTTGAGGGATGTTATAAATAAGTGAAACGTCTTCTGAGATATTGAGGGTGTGGTTATGTTTTTTAAGATGTTGAGAGAAAAGTGAAGTATTTTCTCTCTTTGTGTGCTATAGAGAGCATGAAGACAATGATCTACATATTCTTCTTATGTAGGTGGCATCGCAATCTGAACATTTTAGTATATAAACACCACTATGGTTCATATAATTAATGGGGTCTTTGGAATTAGATATGCGTTAACCCAAGTTATTGGGTACTTTAAAAGAAACATGGATATTTTCAACCGAACCGAACCGATGAGATTTTCAAATATCTTCAGAAAGACTCTCATGATTGTATGGAAGTGAAACATAATTGGGTTTGGTGGTTGAAGTTTGGGGAACGCAGTCTCCTGGAGGCTCCTGAGACGTCCTTTATTGATGATGTTGTGATCATATTAATAACGGTTGTGATCAGTCAATAACGTTCTTTCTCACATTTTCCTTTCCTCGAATGTTGTACACTACACATCCTCTATATTGTATTTTAAAAGAAAGATTTTATGCAGGAATTTGTCTGCATAAAAATTTTGACAAATCTTAATATACATACATCTAATTAAAGATCAAATAAATAATAAACCGTGGAATCAGTTTTTTGTGAAGGACGTCGAGTTACTTTTTAAATAATACTTCAGTATTTTTTGATAAAGGCTTACATTTTTTCCTTATTTTTAAATATTTAGGAATATTCATTACTACAACCTATGGTAATTTTCACGAAAATATTCCTAAAAATATCGATGGTAATATTTCCTGATACATTTAAAATGTTTTTTTTATCTTAATTGAATAAGGAATTGCGTTATGGATCTAACGAGTAGATAATGCATCACATTTGGAAAAGTTGAGGAACTGCTTTGGAAAATGGTTATCCTAATTAACTAATACCTAATATCCTATTTTTATTTCTTCTAATCCTAATCACCTGTTTTATACAATATGAGCTAAACAAATGACAAGGCAGACAAAGGAAGCTTTATTAAATGTGAAAAATTAAATAACAAAAATTTAAGAAACATGAATTTTTAATTTTCCTGCAATGAAAACTGTTTTTAATGTGTTGTACATAACAATGTAATCATTACTGACAATTCTTAACAAAATTGTCAAGCATGTTTGTCACAATAGTCAGTTGTCATCTTTGTAACAAGTCAAAATGTTTATGTACCTCACAGGCAACTATAATTGATAGATCAGGTGAATGATAAGGACAAGGAAGAGAAAGGGGATGAAAATAAGGAAAGGAAAGGGGCTCTTATTATGCCCAGAAAAAAGGAAAATATCATTATAAAGCTAATAACAATTGTACAGTTACAATTAAGTAGGTTACATCAAACAAAGTTGTGGAACAATAAATAATGAGGTATTAAAATAATATAGTCCTATAAATGAAGTAAAGAACTATTTAGTCCATTTTTAAATATGTTAATACGAATTGCCGGTATGGTTCAAATGGTTCAAAGGTCTTATTAGTTCTTTTAGATGAACTAGTTCAAGAGAACTATTTCACAAAAAATGAACTAGTTCGCGAAAGAACTATTTGTAGGGACCGAAATCGAAATCGAATCCTATCATAACTGGTTGCCAGATTTCTCGTCTTAATCATCACACAAGCTCGGCGCCGGCCGCCCGTTTTCTTCGGTTTTTGGTCTTTCACTACCGTAGGGCGTACAAGTAGTTCGGATTCAGAACCATTTCTTTCGATCGTATGTTTAGGTTTAAATGTTTTAAATTATTATATGATTAGTTAGTTTTTCTTTATAATAATTCTTAATCAATTCCAAAAGATGAATAACAGACAGACAGAAAGTTTTTTATGGAGTCATTTCGAGAAAAACGATAAAAATCAAAAATCTGCAAAATGTAATTACTGCTCATGTGATATTAGTATATTGCAAGTGGTTTACTGGGCAATTTATCAAGACATTTAAGAATGAAACACCGTGCTATCAATTTCAAATATCTTAATGTTGAAAGATACATAGAAAAAGAACCCGAAAAATCAGAAAATACATTTCAAAAACCTCAATCTTTAACGTCAAAATCAGTTTCGCTAGTAGAACAAGCAGGAGAAGATGAAGAGAAAGCAGTTATAATTCTTAAGTGCGTAGGAGCAATGCTTTTTAAATTCTTTACCTTTTTTCGAATCCTGAGAAAACTAATAAGTATTTTTAAAAAATTTAAACGCAGAATGAAAGAATACATTATTACTGAGAGCGGAAAGTCTCTGAAAACTGCTATAATATTTATTTTAATAAGTTACAGGGGTGAAAAAAAGAGAAAACTTAGTGTGATTTTTAATTTCAAATATCTCATTAAAAAAACTTTTTATTTATTCTAAGGGACTTTCGGCCCTCGGTAATAACGTAGTCTTTCATTCTGCGTCTAAATTTTTCAAAAATATTTAATAGTTTTTTAAGGATTCGAAAAAAATTATTGCATTTAAAAAGCATTGAACCGAGATTTTGCGCCTACGCTCTTAAGAAAAAACCTGATTCTACTCCCCTTGTTTCTATCAGGTACTATGTAATTGTACTTGACTGTAACTTATTTATGTCTTCTTGCTTCAATGTCCCAGCTTTCAAATCCATATTGCAGTATCGAAAACAAGTAGCATCTCAGTGCTCTTACTCTTAATTCTAATCCAAAGGTCGTTGTTGAAGAGAATTGTTTTTATTTTTACAAAACGCATTTCTTGCTATTTCTATCTGGCTCTTATTTCGGTTGTTTGATCATTATTGTCTGAAATCCAGGTTCCTAGGTATTCCCAAAAACTAACATAAATATAATTATTATAACCAATTATAGCTTAATCCCATCAAAAATATCATTGTCAACATAAAAATGTTAAATAATCGATAAAATGTTGGTATTACAGTCCTTGTTTAAAAAAGCAAAAAAAAATTGCACGACTTTCACTAAAAAGTCCCGGATTTCAGGCATTTTTTTAGCCTTGTCCCGGATTCGATTGAATTGGAGTTGGTCACAATAATTATAAAGCATAACAAACATTTAAGTATAAAATAAATGTGTTTAACATTTTTTTTTATTTTCAGAAAGCCGCATTAATTTTGGCGCTTTTATTTGTATTCTGGACTCCTGCAGCCGAAGCACAGTTATATGTATTTGTAGGAAAATTAATTGACTTCCTTTTGGATGCATCAAGTATACAAACAGTTTTATTTCCCTTCTACCCCGATCGACAATTGTCAAGTAAGTTTTTAAATATTGTTTTCGTAATTTTAAAATTTTAATTTATAATATAGGCCTTATAAATATGTTTAAAAGCAATTATATTTAATGATAATTGGTCTATAGAATATAAAAATATAGTACAACTATTATCAATATTCACCTTAAACGAAAATTGTAAATGTTTAAAGTAATGTATGAAAAACTGTTTTGTTAATATTCTTTAGTATATATTAATTGATATGATACAACTTTCAAGGTCCTAAAAATATACAAGAATATATATATTTTTTTAAATTTTAGGCCTAATATTCATTATGTAGAATGTGATTATTAAAGTTTTCGCTCCTCCAGAAAATAGATCATCAGGCGCTAGAGCTACGTCAGCATCTGGAACGTCACAAAGATTTTCGCCATCCAAAAAGGAAAAGAAGGCAAAAAATCCACGGGCAAAACATTATCCCCCAACGTCTCAAATGGTGAATAATGATGTATAAGGAATGAAGAAAACTGTTGGATAGTCTCTTCAAGCTATTACTACTACTTAACTTATTACTTCTAAATAACAAGTTAGATGCGGAAAAAGTTACACACTTCATCAAAAATATTTAAAAGCTGCAGTTGCTACCGGATCGTTGGTGCAAACAAAGGAAAAAGGAGGCGTCGGGATCTTTCAAGTTAGCGTTTACCTTATCGTCGTCTTTTCGATCGGCAAAGGCTTTAGTTCCGGAGAAAAAAAAGAAAGTTAGAGGAACAATTCAACCGAAAAAATTGTCGCTAAAAAACCCGCGAAAAGACAAGATCTATAAAGAAAGTTAGAAGCCATACTACTCTGAAACTGCTTGACTGACGTTTATGAAATTTAATATGTATGGTGGATGGATCTGAAAATCAGTCATAATATATTTTTTGTATCGCTAAGAGGTAAGGGTTCCCCATGTGGAAAAGGTCCGCTCTACAAGAATATTCTCACAGTTTCCTCCTACTTGTCGAAAAAGCCGACTAAACGGAGAGGCAGTCGTTTTTTGGCCGGGACCGGCCACTAATTCTTGTTAGACGAACGCGATGAGGCAACAGAGGGAATCCTAACGAGGGTGAGCGAAACTAGGCCCGGACTTTGCGCAACCTGAATCATTTCCTATTACCACCAATCTTAGGTCTCTACAGAAGTGAATGGCGTAATCATAAAAAACATCTACAAACCACCATTAACTAAATGGCCAGTAGATGTAATAAAAGCCGTTGACAACCAACCTGCAGTTTACATTGGGGACTTTAAACAGTCACCACAACAAATAGGGATATAAAAACAATGATGAAAATGGGGAGAAAACTACTGGAGTGGGCTGAAGAAAATAATGTTCGCCTTATCCATAGTCTAAAAGATAAAACTACCTTCATTTCTAGAAGATGGCGCAAAGGCTACAACCCTGATCTATGCTGGGTTTCACTAACTCACAGATGCAACACTCCCAAGCTCTCGAACTGTACTTCCAGTTTCCCTCACAGCCAACATCGACCTGTCATAATCGAATAGGCATACAAATTCCTATCGTTGAATCCACGCCGAGACCCCGTTGGAATTTTAACAAAGGAAATTGGCCCGAATTCACCAAAGAGCTGGACACCTGCATTCGCTTCATTGACCCAAAGGCCAACAACTATCACCGTTTTTTAGGAATGGTTATCTCTATCGCCAAAAAACATATCCCCCGAGGTTTCCGAAAGGAGTACATTTCAGGCTGGATGGAAGAAAGCCAAAAACGATATGACGAATTTTTGAAATCAGAAGATCCGGAAATTGGTGACAACTTACTGAAGTCACTGGACTCAACAAGACTTAATAATGGAAGTCTACCGTAAGAACATATTGATTTCTCACGTTCCAGTCGACACTTAAACAGATCAACAATTGAGCCAAATAAAATAGCCAATAGAATAATTGAGAACTCCCGAGTTCCATCTGAGAAAACTCATACATCTACCGTAAAAAGAGCTCTTAAACAACCTTAAAGCAAATACCCCGCAACTATCAGAATACTCACGTGCCTTTCATTGGATGAAATAAACGAAGCGCTTAACCAAACTAAAACAGGAAAAGCAGCAGGCTTCGACGGAATATATCCTGAGTTTATAGTCCACACTGGTACAAAAACACGACAGTGGCTCAAAAAATTCTTTAGCGACATTGTGATTCAACTGTGCTACCCCCAGAATTCAAAAGAACAAAAATTATCGCAATCAAGAAGCCTGGCAAAGACAACAAGCTGCCTGAAAGTTACGGCCTATTGCCTTACTCAGTTGCTGTTATAAATTACTAGAACGACTTTTATATAACCGATATGTAACACCATTGAGGATGCTGTACCAATTGAACAAGCTGGATTTAGAAGAGGACGAAGTTGCTGTGACCAAGTGCTGTCTTTAACTACATTTATTGAAGCTGGCTTTGAAAGACGCGAAAAATCTGCCAGAACATTTATAGATCTCACGGCTGCCTATGACACAGTGTGGAGAGAGGGCCTTATTTATAAGCTGATGAAAATCATGCCTTGCCTCAAAACTTGTCAGCTGATAAAACAATCTACTGACTAACAGACTGTTTCAGGTATATATGAATGATGCACAGAGTAACGTTAGAAAACTTAACAACGGCTTACCTCAAGGCTCAGTGCTAGCTCCTTTATTATTTAACCTTTATACAGCAGATATATACCTGAAACAAAATCGAGAAAATTTGCTTATGCTGACGACCTGGCCATTATCTTCCAAGATAATAGTAAAGAAGCAGGAGAACGAGCTCTAAACGAGGACTTATCTACACTAAGTAAACTATTTTAAGAACTGGCGCTTACGTCCTAACACAAGCAAAACTGAAACCTGTCTCTTTCACCTGTCGAATCAACTTGCACGCGATACTCTCAATGTAACTCTAAATGACACAGCTATCAAACATAACAACAACCCCAAATATCTAGGCGACACACTTGATAGAACACTCACCTTCAAAAGTCATCTTACAAACGCAGCCGGTAAACTAAGAACACGAAATAACTTAATATCAAAACTTGCTGGAACAACTTGGGGTGCTTCTGCAGATACTCTTCGGACCTCTGCTCTAGCTTTGGTTTTTTCAGTGGCAGAATATAATGGCTGCCTACTGTGAGCAATATTGCTCCACCAGATCTACGCCATACAGCAGCATTAGTGAGAGAGTACCAGAAAATTGTAGCCAACGTACAATTACCAATACATCAAGATATCCCAGACATCTCAAAAGAGCACCAACGGTTGAGATCTAGAAATCCTCCAATACGATCTGCCCGAAAAATTGGTAATTCCTATGATATACATAGGCAATGGACAACAAGATGGATGCCAACAGTAGAATCGGACTATATTAAGATATCCACCCCAACTCAGGGTTTCATCGGATCAAATCTGCCCCGGTCCACTTGGGCAAGGCTTAATCGTATACGTACCGGACATGGTAAATGTGCTGATTCGTTGTTCAGGTGGGGTCGTGCAGAAAGTCCACAGTGCGATTGCGGAGAATCTAGACAGACCATAAGCCATTGTGTTTCAGACTGCTTGAATCGTGCCTACCGTGGAAACCTCCAGGACTTTGCGGAATGTTCCCAGAAGCAATTGAATGGCTATGTAAATTGGACATTAATATTTAGTGTCATTCATTATATTCATTCTATTTTTACTATTTTTAGTGTTTGAATAGTATATATAATATATATGTGTATATTATTGTAATTGTATTTGTATATTTATCGTACTGTGAAAGTCCATACGCTAAATAAATAACCAATCTTAGGTTCATCGCTTTTGATGATTTGCTTCCTTGAAATTTCACTATGCTTCATCATGCCATGAATGGAATTACTTTAATCTTTCCTATTGCTATCCCTTAAACAAACACTTTTTCTTTGACTCTTGGCCTTTTTTTTTTATACAGGACCCAGGAAAGGCGGCTGAGTTCTTCTTTTACACTAGTACTAGGCGTCCATCAACAGGGGACGGTGTTGCTCTGCATCAGTTTCATAAGACGACATTACCGCTCAGAGAAGTTAACCTCGATGAAAATCCGCAACCACATGGTGTCAGGCAATCCGTGCCTAATTGGTGAATAGTCTAGCGTTAGACGGCTGCACGGTGCCCTCGAGAACTGGCGAATCTCCGCTGTATTTCAAGTATTAGCGTGGGTAAGGACGCACTGCCTCGGCGGGCAGTATAATTAGGTCTCTACTCGTGGCAACTGTATGGACAAATACTTGATCAGGCAGAAAAAAGACAGTGAGACAAAGTTGGAACAAGCTATAAAAGCGATAATATGGTGTACATTAGCGGTGGAGGGAACAAAGGGAAAGTCCTGAGCGAAGATTAAAAGAGAAAGAAAAATATTATGATTTTCGGAATCTTAATGTTTGTTACAAGATCTCCGGTCAGGGATAGAGACCTGAACAAAAAGAATCTTCCAGAGTAGGCAACCTTGCAAAGGAGCTCCTCACTTGAGATGAAAATACCTAGGGAGGAGGAGGAGTGCTTTGACTAAAGAAAGTTGAATGGAAGTCAGCATCTAAAATGCGTCATCTTCATCCGCAGTTCCAACGCCCGCAGAGACCAAAGTAAAAACACCAAAAAAAGCGAAGAAATTAAATAAAGGCCGTCCTGGCAAAATCCAAAGGCACCTAAGCCAAAGACCGCTAAGAATGCTGCAAGTTCAGCAAAAGGTGGAACAGATGCTGCTCATAAGAAGAAGTAATTGGACAAATTAATTTCTTGAAGTAAATAAAAACAAGTAGATGATTACTTGAACTTACAGATTGGTAAATACATGCCGGTCCAGTTTTTTAAATAATAAATAGGAGATAAAAATTCTGCTGATTTATGAGCCTTTAATTCAATATTATTTGTTATTTTATTTTGATTTTTGTCTAATGATTTCCAAAATGCCAAAATGTCTGTTTTAGTTACATTCCAAAATACATTTGACTTCATCATAGTTGGATCTGGTCCATCTGGCTCAGCATTAGCCAGTAGACTGACGGAAAATCCAAATGTTAACGTTCTTCTGTTGGAAAATGGAGAACAAGCCAGTATATTAACTGAAATACCAATTATAGCAGGTGCCTTCGGAAGTACTATATACCAATGGGGGTATACAACGGAGCCCCAGCCTGGATTTTGTAGAGGTATACCATAAATTATTCTTTAGCGACACTATTAGGCTAAGCAATAATACATTTTTTATTACTTTTCCATTAGTTTGATAGGTCTTGATGTATTATGTATCTCTCCTGCTAATGTGGTTTACTAAAGACCAGATTAGCAGATGCACTTATTGGTAAAATCTTTTTAATTTTCAGATGATTGATAAATGGAAGGTATTGGTAAGTGTAAAATACTGAGGCAATTTTTGGGATTGAGGATTTATGGCGATATTGAAAAAAAAAGTACCTTACAAATTCAAACAGTCTCTATCTATACAGCCCTTAACATCATCCTTGGATATAGGCCTCCTCCTCCTTCTTCCATGCCTCTCTATCTTGGGCAATTTACATCCATTTTGACCCGGCGTGTTTCTTCAGGTCATCTGACCATCGCATTTGTGGCCTTTCCCTTTTACGTTTGTGATTCCATGGTCTCCAATGTATAATTGTTTTAGTCCATCTTTCATCCTTCTGCCTTAGGGTGTGTCCGGCGAACTTCCATTTAAGCTTTGCTACTTGGGTTGAGACATCTTTCACTTTTGTTTTATTACGGATCCATTCGTTTCTTTTTTTGTCTGATAGTTTAATGTTCAGCATTTGTCTTTCCATGGATCTTTCTGTCTTTGCTATTTTTTCCATATTTTCCTTTGTAAACGTCCATGTCTGAGAGCCATATGTGAGGACAGGAAGTATACATTGATTGAAGACTCTCGTTTTTAAGTATTGGGGGTATTTTGAATTCTTTAGAATATAAGACAGTTTTCCGAATGATGCCCAGGCCAATCTTATTCTTCTCTTTATCTCTTCGGTCTGATTTTCTTTATTTAATTTAGTGATTTGGCCTAGATATATATACTTGTTCTATTTTTGTTTGTGCCACTGTAATTATAAGTTCTTCGGGTTGATTAGTCATGGTTTTTGTTTTACTATAATTCATCTTGAGTCCAATTTTTGTCGATTCTCTATCTAGTTCTTCCATCATTCTTTGTAATTCTTCACTTTTTTCTGTTATTAATACAATATCATCAGCATATCGTAAATGATTCAGATTTTGCCCCTTTATATTAATTCCAAGTCATCCCAGTGTAGTCGTTTAAAAACATCTTCTAGCGCTTGGTTAAATAACTTGGGCGAGATGGTATATCCTTGTCTTACTCCTCGGTTTATTTTAATAGGCTCCGTTTGTTTCATTAGCTTAATAGTTGTTGTTGCCTTGTTGTATATATTTGTAATTAAGTCGGTATATCGGTAGTCTATTCTGCTGTTTTGTAGGGAATTCTGTACTGCCCAGTGTTCCACACTATCAAATGCCTTCTCAAAGTCAATAAATGCCATGTATAGCGGGATATGATATTCGTTAGTTTTTTCGATTAAAATCTTCATCGTTTAAAAGGTGGTCACTTGTACTGAAGCTCTTTCTAAATCCGGCTTGTTCTCTTGCCTGGTATCCATCTAATTTAGTTGTTAATCTATTTGTTAATATTTTGGTTAATAGTTTGTACATCACATTTAATAAAGTTATGGGTCTGTAATTCTTTAGATCCTTTTTATCTCCTTTCTTAAATAGTAACAGTGTTATTGCTTCGTTCCAACTGTTGGGTATTTGTTTTGTCATTAAAATTTTATTCATAAGTATGTACAAAACATCTCTAGTTGTTTTCCCACCATGTTTTAGCATTTCTACAGTCACCCCGTCTTTTCCTGGCGATTTATTGTTCTTCATCTCTGTGAGTGCTCTTCTTATCTCGTTCTTACTGATCTCTGGTTGTAAGTCGGAATTAACATTTTTTATTTTTATTTGTAGTTGCTTAAAGATTTCTTGGGTTGGTTTCTGTTTTGTATTGTAGAGGTTTTTATAATATTCTTGTGTTATCTGTATAATTTCTTCTACATTATTGGTCCCTGTACCTTCTTTGTTCTTTATACTATTAATTTGTATGGTTCCAAGCTGTGGTTTTAAGCACTTCATGTTTTTATTTTGTTCAATTGCTTTTTCTATTATTTCTTCCTGTACTCTCCTTTTATAATCCTTGATATTCCTTCTGATAGCTTTGTTTACCTCTTTGTAATCTACTGTGTTTCTCTTATCTTGTTCCAGTAACGTTTTTCTTTTACTCATGAGATTTTTTGTTTCCTGGGATACATAGTTTTCCTTTTTTATTCTTGTTTGTGCTACCTCTTTTCCCGCCTTTGCTAATGTATCGGTTAATAGCTGATTTATTTCATCGATATTTTTGTTTTCCATATTTATTTTTCATATATATATTTAAACAGTACTTTGTTTAAATCTAGGTTTAGTCGGAGTCATGTAGGAATTAAATATAGAATTGATAATGATTATCATCAATAGCAATACAACTTGTCTTGGAACGAGTCTTTCTGGCGTTTAATATTTTCTTTTATGTTTGTCAGTCTTGTGCCACTATTTCTCAATATCTCACTCCAATTTTCTTCAGATTCTCTCTAACGGCATCTTTTTACCTTTTTTAGTCAATCCTTAAGATCTTCTCCTGTTTGGTTTTTCCTAAAGCACATTGTTAATAATTGATGATGATGATGAGATCTACAATGGATCATTCTATTTTTCTTCATGCGTTTATAAGGTTAAACTACAATAAATTTTGCAAAATGTATTGAAATAGCTCATATCTGCCTTCATTTCTCATTATATGTCCCAAGTATTACAGCTTACGACAATTATTCACGATGTTCAAAAAATCCGTAGTTGTGTTCATCCTTTGTAATACTTCTTCATTGGTGACATTGTATGTCCATGGTATCTTTAGGATCTTTTCATATAACCATAGCTCAAAAGCCTGAAGTTTTGATAGAGTTTCCGCCTTCAGTGTCCACGTTTTTGCTCCGTACAAAAGACAGACGCAATATCACCAAAGCTCTTCAGCGCAACTCTAGAAAATATATTCAGCAAAATAAACTGAAAGAACAAAGGAATATCCATTGATGGAGAATACCTCAGCCGTCTCAGAATTACAAGAATTTATAAGCGACCTTAATGCAGCTAGTAATGAAGTTGGCCTAAAAATAAACTTGACAAAAACAAAAACCATTTACAACGAGCTAGTGGATGTCCAAAATGTAATAATAAACAACACAACGTACACTCAGAAATCAACAGACGAATGAGATTGGCTTAAGTATACTACCCATATAGCTGCGAACATATAGCTGCGAAACTTGGACACAAAAGAAAGAGATAATATCGAAACTCAAAGTCACTCAAAGGTCAACGGAGCAATACACGCTGGGTATAACAGAGACCAATATTACTGATGTAATCCATAGAACTAAATCTTTAAAATAGCAATGGTCGGGAGATTTAACGAGAAAAACTGACAATAGGTGGTCCAAAATATTCTCTATTCTGGGTTTCTGTGACTCATTGTTGAACGTTTATGCCCATCCAAGTAGTGATATTGCGAAGCCACGACATGGTTCTTCTGCCTACTCCACTTATGCCTCACTCTTTTTCTCCAAAAAATACAATGCGCCTTTAAACCTGATAAATCATTTTCCATATAATATAGTGCCGAATCTATTATGGTCTGTAAATGTTTTATTTATGTAGGGCAATATTCCATTAATTATGCAATAATTCTATCGGACTTCTGGTCCGTTGTTGATATGCTAGTCAAAGAAATATTGAAATAGGATTACCAAATAACCATTCTCTTTTTTGTGATGCAGCCTGATTCATCCAACTGAAAATTAAAAAAAAAACCCCTTCCCAATATTCTATTATACAAAACACATTTTTTTTTAACCTATTCTCTATCCTTCCGTTGTTGGATATATGTCTCCCCCAGTTCTCTCCATCTTTCCCTATCTTAAGGTGTTCTCTGCCATGTGGGACCTTTTTGTTTCCTGATGGCATTGTTCCATCGTTCGTCTTGGAGACGTTCATTGTGTCCAGCCCATTTCCATTTCAGTTTTGCTGCTTATTCTATCGCGTCTACTGCCTTTGTTCTGGTTCTGATCCACTGGTTACGTTTTCTATCTTTAAGTGAGTATAAATACCCATAAAAATGTATCAAAATATATCATAATGATAACAAGTTTTCGATTTGGTCACGCTCGCTCTTACTATCTCATACAACTGCATAGCATTGATAATATTTGATAATGAATATTGTCAACCTTGTGGTATTAGACGATTTAGAAAACGTTTCTCGAATATCAAAAGTATAAAAACAAGTAATTAAGTCAGTTGTTACATTACTTCAATATCGAGTTTCTGTTTTACATACTTAAGTTTTTAGCAAATCGAGACTAGAGGATTTACAATCTAACAGTGAAGTTTTTATCAAGTACCAAAATAACTCTTTAGGATACTAAATTAATTAAATTAATATCATCATTTGGTTTATATCATCAATTTGTTTTGACCTTCTTACCATGGCTTAGTGTAGTACATTATATATGAAATACATACGATAGATGGGACACTGGACAAAAAGCTAGTATCTCAATTTTGTTATATTGTGCGTGTTGAACAATTTCCTTGTTACTAAGTTAACTGAAATTCATCGTCTTTAATAAACAAATAAGTTTTCGCTTCAAATGTTATAATATGTTCTAAAGTGCAGACCATTTGAAAATAGAAGTTTATGTATCTGTAATTTTTTTTTATGTATTTTCAATGGAGGTTTATCTTAGCAAACCAATCATTTGAGCATACTTTAGTTAAATTCATCCAATGATTTTGGATCGGGCGAAAAAAATTGTAAAATTAGAAATTACTTTTTTGCCAAACGCTTCTGCAGAAAGGTTATTACAGCTGGGGATGTGTGTTATGTTGCCCCAAGTTGCTGAAAAGCTGGCTTCTGGAGGTAAGTTTCTTGATCGGCAATGCCTCCATACACAAAAGATGCCATAACTTAAGTAATATAGTTCTTGCAGACCAAACGGTCACTTTTTCATCATACAACGGTATTTCTTGCACCTTTTCCAATGTTTATAAACCTAAAAACGTATTACTTCTACTAATTTTATCATTTTATGTCTACATAGTATCTCTGATTTCATTTATGGTACTATGTTCTGATATAACCAGGATCCCAGCAGTCCAGATTTTTTCATAGTCTAAATTATCCCATTCTTGCCTTGCTTATAACTTAGTATAGAAACAATGAAGGTGAAGAGGAAAGAGGTTCAGTAGTACCTACATCATTGCAGTTGGCATACCCATCAGAGCTTCTGTGATGATTCCAAGGCAGGCAAGTTTTTGTATCTTACTTAGTTTGAGGATGACACTTTTAGCTGCACCTTTCTCTACCATACAACTAATGCTTATGATATTTTTAGTTCTACTAAGTACTATGTTATAGATCTAATAGAACATGTCTGGTTTTAAGCTCTATCCACATAGCCTACGACATGATCTGTCATGGGTCTGTCGTTTCCAAAGTCAGCTATCAGTCCACGCTCGACCAGCTTTCACAAGAGACTAAATATGATTCTTCCTGGGCAACATTGTGGAGATATACACATGCGATGTTGTCTAATTCTTCCGCTATATCGAGAAATAAACCCAGCATCACCTCTTAGTTTTCCAGAACGTACTTCACCCTCTGTACGAGATAATGCAGCGTCAGTTCCGTATAAATTGCTGCAGTACTTTTAGAGTTTTCTAGAATCTTTGGTTTAAATAACAGATCCATCAGCCTCAGAGATTTAGCTTTTACCTGTCTGTTTTGCCAGGTTTGGGTAAAAAAGCTATCCTCATGAGCCTCTTGACTTTTATTATGTATAATCCAAAGGCTTCTAGGCTACGCATTTTTTTGTACAGATCATTTTCCTTTTATGGAAGTATTGAATTAATATTCTCCATACTCGGTGATATCTATGTCTAAATCAAATTTATTACCCAGTCGAATTTGTCCTGATTCACTACTTCCTCTTCCATGTGACAATTTCCCCAGAAATCATAGGTTATGATCTTCAGTCCATCCTGCTTCCACGTGTCTAGTGGTAACAGTTTTGTGTCACACTCAGAAGATTCCGATGCGCAGGACACCTCAGAAGACATTCTGACTAACGAACAGTAATACTGGTGTGGGAGGAAGTCCCAACTGGAAGCAGACCACGCGGACGCCTTCGTTTCCGGTGGCGAGATAATATAGCAGAAGACCTAAGTACTATGGGCGTGGAGAATTGGATGGGGGTTGCTCAAGACAGAAAACAGTGGAGGCATGTTGTCGAGTCGGCTAAAACCCACAAAAGGTTGTAACGCCATGGAGTAAGTAAGTAAGTAATAGACTTATCTGACAGTCCTTGAAGAAAACTTTATGAAGAAATTTCTGCAGTCTGTTTTAACTTCTCGCAATGGTTTCGTAACTATTCTTGTTTTTTGCACTTCTTAGAACCGTATAGTTCTTTTAGACCCAAGGTTATATAAGTTGTAAAGCAATAAATTGTTAGGTTTTCAATGACTGAAAGAGCTGGACGAAATACTGTTGAATAGTAATCATCTGAAAGTTACTTGAAAAGTGATCATTTGATGCGCAGCAACTGTTATTCAAAGATATTTATTACTCAAGTTCCTCAAGTTCGTATATGGAGGTTTTGGATTTGCAGATCAAGAAACTTACACTTTGATAGCTATTTTTTCAGCAACTTCGGGCCAAATGGCACACATTACTGGCTATAAAAACCATTCTGCAGATACGTTTGAAAATAATGTAATCTTACATTTTAACTTGCTTGAAGTAATATATATATATATATATATATATATATATATATATATATCCTCGAATAAACTCTTTGTATGTCCATATATAAAACTTATTTCCATTATATATTTTATGTTATGATTGCCTGTATACTATTTACAGGTTGCACTAACCATCAAATTAAATGGGAGCATGGGAATGCCGTGGGAGGAAGTACCATAATAAATTATATGATTTATGTAAGAGGAAATCGTAGAGATTACGACATATGGGCTGATCTAGGAAATCCTGGATGGGGATATGACGACCTTTTGCCATTGTTCAAGAAAATTGAAGATGTTCATGTTGCCATTAAGGATGCAGATTATAGAGGCACTGGAGGACCTGTCACTGTGACTGATGTTGCATGGCGGACAAAAGTTTCCGGGCACTATGTTGAAGCAGCACAACAGGCTGGGTACAGCTATGTAGATTATAATGGAAAGGAACAATTGGGGGTAAGCTTTCAGTTTTAATAATATAGGAAAAAAATTAAATTTTTTGTTTTGTAATGTCATCTAATTTGTAGGTTTGGTACCAATATACAAATTTTTACCGTATTTAACAATGTTACTGATATACTGATTGGTCTCTTATGTAGAATAATGATCGTGTTAGAAAAGCATCGATTCGTCAATGTAAAAATAAATGGTTATGTTAACAGAACTGTTTAACTTCTTGTTACAGAAGGAAGTATATTAAAATGGTACTGGACTTAACAAGAATCATAAAAACAATCAATTTGTTAAAATTATATTACCTAGTGATTACCATAACTCTACTTCTTATTCTTCGTCTTCTTCTTTTTCTTCATATTTATAAGCAATTAAACTTGCTCATTGGGGATTGATACCTCTATGGAAGGCTGTCTTCTACCAATTCGTGCTCTTGCTATTTTGAGTGTATTGGCCTCCTTCACTTTGCTTATGTGGTTATTTCATTATTTTTTCTGTTTAGTATCCCCTCGTTACGTTTATACACTGTACGCTACATTTCTTCTAATGCCCTCACTTCTGCTTCGATTTCTTAGCGTATTTCTTTAATTCTTCTTAGCACTCTCTTATCCTCTGTCTCCAGTAGCCTTTATATCATGGCTATGCTGGGTCTTGTTTTCTGATATACTTATACACCTTTATGGTTCCTGCCAGTCTATTTACTTTTTGTATTAGATCTATCACTTCTCTCTCCAGGTCTCCATAGTTAGACTGTGTAATTCCAAGGTAGTTTATTACCAGTACTTGTTCAATACTGACGCCATCGATTTCTAGTTTACATATGGTTGATTCTTTGCTGATTATTATTTTTTGGTTTGAGTTGGGATAGTCATTAAATTCTTTGCTCTTATGTTAAATATGTGGACTAGTCTTTAAGGACTATTTTTATCTTGTCTACCAATATTCCGTCATCTGCGTAACAGAAAATATTTGCTTCTTCGTTTTCCATTTTGTATCCTTTTCGTTTGTTGACACTTTCGTTAACTTTATCCATGATTAAATTAAAGAGCATAGAGATTAATGATTCTATAAGTTTTGTAAGTTTTCTATCTATTTTTACTTCTATTTTGTTATTTTGGACATTTTACTAGATTTTTTTACCACTTTTTATATTTATCGTAACTTGACTTTAATTCTGTTAAATCATTTTTTAAAGTCAATCAGACACATACATGTTGGGTTACTATAACAATTAAAGAAAAAGAATGTCAAGAAATTAAAAGGCCAGTTACAAATGAAAGGGAACTATTCCAAGAACTGATTTCTGTTTAAATTATTGACTGCCAAAAATATTTTGGCGGTAAAATTGAGACTACATTCATCAGTGGTTCAACCCATAATTCTTTATTCGAGCAACCATCATTATTATCATCTTGGCTCGACAATTCTTTGGGGATCCTGGTCCGCTCCAAGATTCGTTGTCATTGTGTTTGGTTTCTAGCGATTTGTAGCCATCTTCCGATTATTATTATCCCTAACTCGATGTCAACTTCATCTAACCACCTAATTTGTGATCGGTCTCTGCTTCGTCTTCCTACAGGTGTTCCTTTGGTAAGCTTTTAAGCAATCATGGTGTATGGCATTCGTATTATGTTGTAATGTACTATAAACTTGGATGGATAGTAAGGATGTCCGTAAGTTGGGTATAACTTTGGGTAGCACAAACATTGACCCAAGGGGATGTTTAGTTTTGAAACTAAAAAAAATCTAAGTATGTTTACTTTGCACACCGGCACTTAGGTATTTTCAAGGACACACGGTGAGCTTTTTGAACGTGAGTCCATATATCTAGCATGGGGAATATTAAGGTAAAAAAAATTTAATCAAACAAACTGAAAACCATCTAGACAGAATTTGGTACTAAATGAAATGGAAAAATAAAGGACACCACCTTATCTTGTCTTTCTTTCGAAAGACAAAGAAAACTCGATATTTTACATGCCAGAAGATTGATTAAAAAATATACAAAAAATAAGAAATGAAAAAATCCTTTTCTCCTTTTAGAATTATTTTGTTATTTCCCAAAAAAAGGCAAAATTAAGAGGAAAATAAGATAAATAAAAGATATAATAAGTTACATCTTAAAGTGGCTTCCCACGATCGACGATTCTACAGATCATCGCGGACAGCCTTATCAGCACGGACGGCAAACGCACCGCAGACAGAGCTCTTCCTACGGTCCGTGACAGTCTGTGTAGGTCCGTGACAGTATTGTTTGATTATACCATAAAAAGGCCACTCAGGCTTGTAAACATCATCAGCTCCACTACCAGTTCCCATCGATTCTCTAACTTTAGTTTGCCTTTTGTATGTAGGCATTAAATTAGTTTTCTTCCTTTTTAATTCTTTAATCGCAGTAGTACTGCTGTTCCATTGATTTTTTATTCGGTTCCATGCATCGTTCCGGTTCTTATGCTCCGGCGCAGTGGAATTTCATAAACTTGATTCATTTTGATACAAATTTAAAAAATCAAAAATAACTTCGTTTTTCCATTCCATTTTTTAGCAAAAAACTGCAAAACAACTTTGACAACACTTCTGACATGATGAACTTGAATGAAAAACTTCTGACTTGCACTTGTCTGTTAAAACACAGACGCGCTAGGATCGCGTTGCACGAGCATGTCCGCACCTATTATGTTACCGACTCTAGATGGATAGGACGCACCAGCACGGACGTGCCTCTGCTACCACGGACGAGACCTTTCCCACGGTGCGTGGTGCGGGCTGGTCCGCTTACGTCCGCAATATCGCCGACCGTAGGAAGCCGCTATTACAAACAAATGTCCATTACAAATTAATACATTTTTACATCTTTATCTAATATTAAATATTATCTTTTCTCAATGACCTGCTGGACACTAGTAAAAATATTTTTGTTAAAGATGATCTCAACAAGAAAGGCTATTTATAAAAAGGAAAATCAAAATTTATTTTGGTCACTATAATATCATGATATGCAGTTATGAGAATTTACGCTTCTTGACTCTACAATCTTCTTACAAATTTTGTATTGTACATAAAAAAAATTATGCTGATTTAAACATACTAAAAAATTATGGGACATACATATGAAACAAAAAAGAAATAGGTAACCGGCATATTTCCTGTTTCACCATCAGAAAATATTCAGCATTGTGGTTGAATCTGCAGTCGTAAGTTATAAAAAAAGGTGAAAACTTACGAGGAATATTGTGCTTTTCTTATATTAATGGTCAAAGTACACAGCCCTGTCTCACTCCTCTACTTATCTGTTGCGCATCCGTGCTAACGCAGACTATGTTACGGCATATTACAATTACTAGTTTTTATTAAACATTTCTGATAATATTATTTTTTTAAAGCATAGTAAAAAGATCTATAATCTTTGGTGTATTATTATTCAGAACTCAGCAATAATTTTAAAATTTCTATAGACGAATTAGAGGAAAAGCGAATTAAAAACAATATAGTAAATAAACCCTATTGGAAGCGGCACTTGACAAATAAATAGACTCTAGAAGTTTGAGTTTAATATTTTAAAACGGAAAAAGATAGAAACTATATTGACTTTTATGATATAAAGGGCGAAATAAATACTACAATGTGTCCAGCCCACCGAAGTAGCTGTTTTTTTAATAAACCTTACGATTTACGTTGGTAAATTCAAAATTATATCTTTTGCGCAACTGTTCTTGATCATTTATAGCTTAAAATATTTTTCGAGTATTTTATGCTCAGTATTGCCAAAAGTTTTTCATTCTTATGCGTTGTAGTCCATGTTTTCGATCCATATGTGAGCATCGGCCTCAGCAGATTGTTGTGTATAATAATTTTAGTTCCTCTTTTGATATTTTTTCAGTATAACTTTTTTTAGATTCCCTAGTATGCTTAATTTTTTAGTTTTTTCGCTTGTTTTAGTGATAGTAGTCCCAATCGAGCCAAGGTATGTGAATCTGTCAACACGTTTAAAGATATGACTTCCAAGGGCTGTTTTCCGTCCCTCATTTACTATATCTTTAGCAACTAACATGTACATGGATATGTCTTCGTTTATGACTACACCGACCTGTTTCGCCACATGTTCCCATGCTAGGAAATATTGCTCAACATCCCGCTTGTTAAGCTCTATAATGTCAATGTCTACAAATTTAATGTCAATGACCAGTAGTACACACTGGGATATAAATAAAAAAGAAAATATGTTGAATATCTTGGATGAAAGTGTACAAAAAAATCTTCAGTGAAAACAGAATATAGGAATGATTGGAAGAGATGAAACAGTGTAGAAAAATAGGCAACTGTACAGTTAAATCCTAAATTAATTAGATCTCTAGATTAAGTAGATTAAGTTGGTTAAGTTACTTGGCAAAAATGGCAGGTGAAACTGGGTTAAGGAATCCTTAGACGACGGTGGCTTTATAAGAAAAATTTAAGAAAAGTTATGAATATAAACTGAAGACCCAACTCTATACAGAAAAAAGTAAAGAAACTATAGAAAAATCTCAAACCATGGGCCTTTAAGGCCTGTTGACACTCACAAGCTGTGGTATACATAATTATATTAATAAGATCTTTATATTCTTTTAATTTATACTATACAAAGATGTTTGCAATGGTGATATGGGAAATATTTAATATATAATAAAAATAAGACATATTGTTTTAGGTATCTTATGTACAAGCAACAACTAGAGATGGTAGACGAGATAGCGCTGAAAGAGCCTATCTGAGACCAATACGCAACAGAAAAAACCTTAAAATACAGATAAAGTCCAAAGTAACCAAAGTTCTCATTAAAGATAACGCTGCTTATGGCGTTGAATATTCCCATAATGGCATTAAACACACGGTTTATGCATCAAAAGAAGTTATTCTGTCTGCTGGAGCTTTAAATTCGCCTCAGTTACTTATGTTGTCTGGAATAGGACCCAGAGAAGATCTAGAAGCTTTAGGTAAGAATAATTTTTTTTTCTATAATAAGTTTTATTCACAGAATTATGTGTATTGCACATGGGACAACTAGAAGTCTTTATTTGTGATCGATTTGGAGCAACTTGGATTTTTGAATGTGTACAGAAGCTTATTATTGATAAAACCTAAGTGTTAAAGTACAAAAATTTAGCAGCTGTCTACTTTTTAAAAGCCGTGAGTTGCAACAACACCATTAATGATAAAACTGCTTCAATTTTACGCTACTCATTTTATCAGAAAGAGATACAAGCTTCTCTCAAGTTTCCTTGTGTTCTAAAATAGGCCCTTGGGACTAATTTTATTTATTGAGTTGGCGTGTTGTTTAGAACATTTCACGCTTGGATTAATGTAAAAACGAAGGCTCTGATTAACAAGAGTTTTAAATATTTATTTCGTTTCATCGCCTTTTTGCGATTTATTTTCTTTTTCTAACGGGAGAAACTTTGGTAATGTTGAATTTATTTACGAAAAGAAGACGATAAATGGGTATTACCGGAAACTCCCAATATAATGTCTAATTTACCAAATGAGTTTACTATAAACGACACAAAATAAGTAATTCAGAATTTATAAAATGGCAAATCTACAGGAGAAAGTTAAACAGAAAATTCATTTTTAAACATTCACATTTTTAAATCAATTATACCCTAGACCAAAAAGAATAACACCGGATAAATGAAGAAGCTTATTTAGGTTGATGTTTAACAAGACAGAAAAACGGATGACACTAATAATTATCGAAACATAAATTAGTTTAAAACAAAACTCAAATTATTAAGAATACAAGGACCAAAAATAATAAAATATAGAGTAGACACACGATTCAAGAAATGAGGAATGGAAAAGCTAAGGCCCAGATGAATTACCAATAGAAATAAATAAACTCAATAAAGAAGACTTATATGCGTTTGTCAGTCCAATATATATTTTCCATGTGTTCGGTCTAGCATATTTTTCCAGAAAGAGTCAATTTGTGCTCAAATCCAGGCTTTCTTCCTATCGCTGAAGTTACTTTTGAACATACCTAAGGTAGCTCTTCAATACTAATTGAAAAATGTGTTGAATATAATAAACCACTCACGTTGATTTTCATAGACTTCAAGAAATCTTTTGATACCGTGGAATTACCGGCAGTATTAGGAGTATTAGAACGAAGCCGAGTAGACTATAGATATACAAATTTGATAAAACATATATACAACAACGCAACAGCATCTGTTAAACTCCCTGACTTTACCGATAAATATAGAATTGAGCGAGGAATTAGACAGGGCGACACCATCTCCCCTCAACTATTCACTGCAGCTCTGGAATATGCCTTTAAAAAACTAGATTGGACTAAAAGGGGAATAAATATTGATGGTGAATACTTAAGCCACTTGCGCTTTGGAGATAATATTGTCATTATAGCCGAGAGTTTAAATGAAGCTCACAAAATGATGGAAGAACTAAAACAGGCAATAGAACAAATACGCCTGAACATAAACTTTGAAAAAACAAAATACATGACCGATTTAGTTCCAAGTGATGTTATGAGGGTAGATGGGAACGAAGTACATCAGGTCTTTAGCTATTTATATTTAGGGCATGAAATTAGAATAGGAAAAGACAATCGAACTTGTGAGATCCAGCGTCGCATAGGATTGGGATGGGCAGCATTTGGCAAGATGCGAGATATTCTAAAAGGAACCTACCGATTTGCTTGAAGAAAAAGGTTTACAACCAATGCATACTGCCAGTAATAACATATGGTTCCGAAACAATAACTTTAACCAAACCTTCTGCAAATAAATTAAGAGTAACCCAAAGAAAAATGGAAAGAGCAATGTTGGGAATAACTAGAAGAGATATGGTACCAAATAGGATAGTGAGAGAGAGGACTAAAGTAACAGATGTCATAGAAAAAATTGCACAAGCCAAATGGAGATGGGCTTGACATATAGCACGTTTAAATGATAATAGGTGGACCAAAAGACTCATAGAATGGAGACCTAGAGAAGACAAAAGACACCGAGGCAGACCACCAAAAAGATGGAGAGACGACTTGAGAAAAACAGTCGGAAATTGGATACAGAAGGCGCAAGATAAAGAACAGTGGAAGAACATGGAGGAGACCTATGTCCAACAGTGGATGCAAGAGGTTGAGGAATTATGATGATGATGAGGATGATGAAGGTAGCTCTGGATGAAATTATTTGGTAGCCTATTCTCTGCTAGAAAGTTTATTATCTCTTATAATATTGTGATGACCTTGTACTCATATTAGAGTGATACTGTTATATTTCGTTTGTCTATCGAGCTCTTCACGATATTCCCACACTAGCACTACTAGTGCTATGTGGTCCCACACCAGCACCATATAGCACTACAATGGGAGGATCTATCGCTCTGGCGATAGGTCATCCCATTAATGAGATTATGGTTCCCATGACTCATACAGTATATGCTTTGCTCAAATTTACTCAAATACACGAAATGGTTTTGTTATTAAAAGAAGACATTAAAAATCTAAGGAAAAAGTATGAAACCTACGCGGATCACTCTCTGTACTTAGAACGTTTCAAATCTCGTTTGAGTTCCTGAAAATAAATATTGGAGATGTCATCCTAAGAAAAGAATTACATAGGAGTATGGCCATCCTTTCTTTCCTTGGACGCTCTTCAAAGAACTTAAACAAACTAAATTAAAGGATACTCTGCTACGAATCCATCTTTGGCTGGATTTTTGGAGTCTTTTATATTTAAATAAGGTAACTGAAGATCTAGATCCAGACATAAAGAAACGTTTTAGAGATACGGATTGATCAAGCCAGAACAGCATTTACTAATATGAGAACCTTGCTATGCAACTTATGATATCGCTTTGTAAAATGTTACATTTACTCCATACTGTTATATGGTATAGAAACCTGGACCATAAAGGCCAATGTGAAGAACCGATTGGAGACCTTTGAAATGTGGGTATTAAGAAGACTATTTAAAATTCCCTGGACGGATCACACAACAAATGTCGAAGTAAATAGTAGAAGTAAATGTTAAATCGAATGGACAGAGAACGAGAATTGCTGTCAATATTAAAAAGAAGAAAAACTGCTTATCTGGGTCATATATTTTGAAATTCCAAGAATCAGTTCTTAACGCTTATTGTGGAAGGAAGATAGAAGGAAAACGGGGCATCGAAAGAAAGAAATACTCATGGCCTAAAAAGATAAGGGATTGGACAAACCTCAGTGCCCATGCACTCTTTAGAGCCACACAAGATTAAAAGGAGTATGCCAGAATTGTCGCCAACATCTACTAAGTGGGTAGGGCACTATAAGAAGATATTTAAATAATATGAAACGCAATTTTCGAGTAAAAATACTCTTAGACAAGAAACTGGTATATAAAAATGAGAGCAGAGCTCCGACAGAAAGCTCTCAGACTTAAGACAAATCTGTACGAGCCCGAGCAAGACTGTCTAGCTCAACCTAAATATCACTACTATTTATGCATGTCCATACTTAATTAATATAAAAAATTCATATATCTTTTATTTTAGGTATCGAAGTAATTAAAGACCTACCAGTAGGAAAGAAAATGTACGATCATGCAACTTTCCCGGGTTTAGTTTACACATTAAATACAAGTGTTTCAATAAATACTATCGGTGAAATCTTGAATCTGGCCAATTATCCAGGTTTTCTTTTAGGAAGAGGATTTTTCACTTCTATAGGTAAGTATTTTAAGTTTGCAATAGCAGTTAAAAATTAATTACTATTTAAATGGCAAGAAGCCACAATTATAGGATAAAGTAAGTTTATGGAAGTTTCAATTTCCACTTCGGAAATCGTTCTCAAAATACATACTTCTGTGATTCCATTAATTAATTCCTGGGGGCTCACCGTGTCAACGGCGTATCTGATGTTATTGATACATTCACACCTCATAAAATATAAAAAAACCTTGTTGTTTACCTTTCTCTTAACCCTTCTTCTTCCTGATGGCTTGAGACCAGCTATGATAGCTGGTCTCAGATATGATAGCTTGAGATCAGAATGACTGTTAAGCTACTATTTAAAATATATTTGGAAAACACATAAAAATGATGAAAGGAAAAATATAAAAAGATTGAGGAAGAAGGAGGTAACGAATACATATACATAATGAGTTTTGCAGGTGAATTAAGAGGTGATTGTAAACAACCCCAAAAATGTGTGACTTGTATATTTCCGAGTACATTTTTAAACGTGTAAAAATCTAATGTTCTTTCTTTACAGGTGGAGTAGAAGCTATAAATTACGTCCATACAAACGTAACAGCCGGCTCAGACCCATTATATCCAGACATAGAATTACTTATTATTGGAGGATCTCTGGCAAATGACTATGGAGTTGTTTTTAGAAATATGTTTAATATACCACCTAAGATTTACGATGCAGTATTTAAACCTTTGGAGAACAAGTATACATACCAGGTAAAAAAGATAATAATTTTTTTGTAAGTTTAACCTTAAATAATAATAAGAAACAGTAATACTATCGCCAAGGTACCTTGAAAACATAGACAAATGATAATCAACAGGAACAGTTGTTATTGACAGTTAACCAGGAAGTATTTCACTGTCAATAAAGTGGAGCAGTTGTTGAAAATTGGTGGTCGATCTTTCCTGATTAAAAATTTGTGTGTGACAACAGTCTGAACAATTCTTAAAATCTCTCAATTCTTCTGAAAGAAGGAGAGTGTCACGGTTGAAGAATTTAAGGGACTGGTTTAAATGCAGTTCTATAGCATTTCTATAGTTCTAAATACTCTTCAGAGCAGCAGCAGATAAAGTAAAGATAGTGATGATGATCTACAACCTCTGATTGGGAGACGGCACTTAAAGAAGAAGAACCTTGGTTGGCAGGAGTGTTGTAGCTTGTTAATATGCAAGTTTCAATTTAAGGTCCTGGTAAAAGTTAAACCTAGAAAATTAACTCCATCTGATTGTTTTAATGATAAATTATTTATAGTTTATTTTTATGAACGAGAGAGTGATTAGCATAATTTTAACTGGTACCTCCGACCACTTCATGGGCGTGCTCAAGATTATTTGAAAAATTACTTTGAATAATTGTAAAAAATAAATGAATTATTTCAGTGTTATAAAGTGTTATGTGTATGTAAACAAAAGTAACCTCTTTTATCACACACTATATTAGAACTGACTGGCCTACATTAAAAAGGGTTTTAAAAAATTCACATTTTTTTTAATTTTTAAAAATTACAAAAGAGAAAAAGAGTTTTTAAAACCGTCTAAGGTATGTTAAATAGATGAATAAAAATATTAATATAAAACTTACAGCTACTTGTTACAAATCCAAATCAGATTCAGAAGATGAACTTTCAGAACCAAGATTTATAATAACTGGCTCGATCATTTTATCAGTAATATTGTCCAGCTTCCACATTTTTTCCTCTTCTTTAATAGTGTGATTTACTGCCTTTTCCCAGTTTTCAGGTTTTACATTATTTACGGCCTCCAAAAACAACTGTTTAACATCATGAATTTTAAAAGTTGTATTTTTTCTTTAAACTTCACTCTTTATCTGTGCCCATACCAGTTCAATCGGGTTTAATTCACAATGATATGGTGGGGATCTAAGTACTGTCATTCCACGATTTTTGACAATTTTATCAATTTCGTATTTTTTAAATTTTTCTTTATGAAGGGCACACAACGAATAAAGTTCCTTTCTTATAGATCCGGGATGGTACGTAATATTTTTTGAACTCAGCCAATTCTGCAAGTCTTTTTTTAACCACTTGGTTGTAGGCAGTCCTTCTATAAGTCTGGAGTGATAACTTGCATTATCCATTACTATTACACAGTTCTTAGGAAGAAGATCTATCATTTGTTCGAACCATTCTTGAAAGACATCAGCGTTCATGTCTTCATGGTAGTCACCGGTACGAGTTGATTCAAAAGTTAATAAACCACCTTCAACAAAACCGTCTGAACTGCCAATGTGTACTATTATCAGCCTGCGTCCCTTTCCTGATGGTGGGTTTAAACCAGTAGATAAGTTATTTACAAAAGCGTGCCTTTGACTTGTAACAGTTTCATCCTGCCAAAATTTATTTGGTGTATGACCCTCGTTGATCCATGTTTCATCAAGATAAAATATTTTTCTTTTTTGGTTTCTCATTTCCTTTATGGTTCTAAGAAAATGTCTTCTCCATATGACAATATCGCTTCTTTCTAATAAAATAGACTTTCTGGGATTCTTTTTCCAGTGGAAGCCTATTTCTTTTAAAAGTTTCCATAACGTACTTCGACTCATTTCTGGGTAATCCTTATCATCTCGAACTGAGACAAGAACTTTATCCAATGTTGGAAATTCTTGTCTAAAGAAGAATTCATGCACTTTCCGTCGAAGTCCTTCTTTAAAATGATATTCTATTTGAAATTTTGGTTTCCCTGGAGCATTACGTGGCATTTGAAAACTACCACATTTCTCTTCTTTAATAACTCCGTAAATCGTAGACTAATCGTAAACTAACTCAACGGTCTCATCAACACTTTCACATATACGTTTGTCTGTAAATGATTTAAAACAATTAAATATTAATGTTTTTTCATTAACTGTTAAAGGACCAATTTTTCGGCGTTTACACGGCACTTCCAAATTTTCCATAACACTAGTATACACAATAAACTGCACCTTGCAACTGAAGTACCTACTTTTAGTGAACTGTTAAGAATTTTGAATACGCCACTTGGACCTTCCTACAAAATGGAAAAACCCACTATCACATTTTCTGTGGAATAAGTTTAGAAGGTAATTATCTAGTCAATTACTGTCGTAGATTCCTGGAATTAAAGAATTAAATGTTTGATTGTTAAAACCCTTACTTCGTGGAATGCACTAATTTCAGATAAAATAAAACGTTTTATTTTATCTAAAGAATTAAACTTTATTTTGCAAATAGGTAGGTACTTATTAAACTTTTATTGGTTATATATAACCAATAAAATAAACATCTTACATTTCTTCCAAATTCATTAGTACCTGTTAACCTCCATCACTCCGACACTGGCAACCTTATTTAGGGATTAGTAACCCATACAACTATTGTATTCTATTCTGCTCCAACCTTTATACCTGGTGGTCATACTCAATTTAAAATTGTTTTCCTATATACTTCTGTAAACTTGTTGACAAATATCTGTTTTTCATTGAGTCACCCGTATCAACAGTTTAGGGATTTGCATACATAATTTATTGTTTTATTACTCTCTCATACATAAAAATACACTATAAAGTAAGGTCAGCTTAATACCGAGATCTGTATTAAAAATTATGTGTTTTGTTTTTTTCTGCAGAGAAGTTAAACCCAGTTTTTAACGTCAAATTTTTAAGCCGAGTTAAAAATTTTGTCAAATTTTAGTTGCCGATTATATATTGTTTGATTTAGCATAAACGACAATGTTGTCTGCATAAATACTGGCTTTAATAGGTGCTCTAATTTCATGAACCTTGATGGATTCCATTATCTAATGTTCTTGTTGAGCTGTTAAGGCCATTTATTCCAATTTCTATTGATTGATTATTTAAAAAATTGTTTACAAATGATATTATGTTAACTTGCATCCCGTTACCGCTTAGATTTTACAAATGCAGTGTCTACAAGTTCTGTCAAAAGCTTGGTGTATATCAAAAAATCAATCAGTTTTTGGTTGTTAGCAAAAGCTTTATTAATGGAGGTTTGTAAAGTAACATAGTTATCTGACGTCGATCTGCGAAGCTTCGTGAGCCATTTTGATAAAGGGAAAGAAGATTATTATTTTCCAATACACAAGGATTGTAGTGTATTTAGGATTAAGCAATAACTATAAATATTTTTCTTAATTTTTCAAAGCAATAATATATAAAGTTTTTTTCTGTTTTAGTGTACTCCAGTATTGCTTCATCCAAAATCATATGGTTCAATAAAACTACGGTCGAACAATCCATTTGATGCTCCGAAATTTTATGCTAACTATTTTTCAGATCCAGAAAATGAGGATATTCGACGTTTTATTGTAGGTATACGGGAGTTCCAAAGAATTAACTCATACCCGGCTTTACAAAAAGTTGGTGCTAAATTGGTGGAGACTCCAGTACCAGGTAATATCATAAAATAAAGTAGGTATGGTAAAAATATTTTGTAAATATTAAGGTTTATGGTTTGTATAATTGGTCCATGTATAACAGTCCAAAACAATGTATAATTGGTTCATAACTGAGCATTACCACTGATCGTACACTCTAAAGAATGGCCATAATTAATACTCCATTTGGACAATACATCTTATTGATGCTCTGAAAGAACTGTACATAAACTCAACCTCAATAATTACATTGGAAAACAAAATATCTAAAAGCTGCCTAGTCACTAAAGGATTCAAACAGAAATGCAGTGTATCTCCAGTGCCAATGTTATCCAAAATATAAATTCTTGAAGCTCTGAGATGGTGAAAACAGAAATGTAAGAGAATGGAACATCTCAGTAGAAGACAAAGATATTGAGCCAGTTGACTCCTATAAATACTTAGGCCATGAGATCAGAATAAGTCGAGACAACCAAAGAATCGAGCTGAAAAGAAGAATAAACCTCGCTTGGGCTGCATTTGGAAGGATGAAGGATATTTTTAGGTCTAAGATTCCAATGTGTCTGAAAAGAAAAGTATTTAATCAATGTATTTTGCCAGTGATGACCTACGGCGCAGAAACCCTAACGCTCACAAGAACAACAGTGAGTAAACTACAAGTTGCGGAAAGAGCAATGGAGATAATTATGTTAGGGATTTCTCTACGTGATAGAATACCCAATGCAGACGTTATTGAAAGGATAACAACACTAAAGTGGAACTGGGCAGGTCATGTAGCAAGATCAGTTGATGACCGGTGGACAAAAAGAATTTTGGAATGGAGACCCCGAATACAAGCTTACAGAAATAGAGGTCGACCCCCAACGAGATGGACAGATGACATAAAAAGAGTGACTACAAATTGGATTCAGATGGCGCAAAATCGGACTAAGTGGAAAAGCATGCGAGAGACCTATGTTCAGCAGTGGACGTTAGAGGCTAGTTGATGATGATGAAGAGAATGGGACTGCTAATAGGCAATAAAATACTGTACACATTACATTACACCGATTAATAAATGTTATTGCACCGGACAAGTTCATATCAGAGTTTTTTGTTTAACAGGACAAATGTTAGGGGTAATAACAATAACAGAATAACGATTTGTGGTGAACTTTTACGTTAAACTTGGAAAAACCGATTTTTTTTTATTTTAAACTAAAGTGTCTCGGCAACTATGGGCCATTGACACTGGAACAAAGTTAATTACAATATGTTTATGTTTACATACATATACAATCTGTTTATATACAAGGTATTATACATTAACAACATCTTAATATAATGACACTAAGTAGTAAAGGTGACAGTTCGTTAGGAAATGAATTGTAGCACTGTACATGTTTATAGAAAAGTATAGATCACTTAAATTATTTTGAAAGTTGTAGTAATCTCTTGGCGGTTTATAGTGGACACATCCTAGTAATGTGCTGGACTGTTAAGGACTCATTACAATGTTCACAGCGAGGATAGTTTTTTCAGAAGACATCAGATATCTATGAGTAAGACGAGTGTGACCTATTCTAAGCCTTCTGATAATAATATTGTCTTTTCTGCTCATTTGAGGCATGGTGATAGAGGTAACAGTTGGTTGAATTGTGCCTAGTTTTGTATTTTGCATCTTCCAGTGTACTTAGCACTGCTAAGTACACTGCACTAGGCACTTGCCAAGTACTTAGTACGTTGTTCTTAATACTGGCCTTTAGGTCTAGGTGAAGTTGTGTGTTTTCTATATTTTCCAAGGAGCAGGCCAGTTTTGCTGCATAATCAGCGTTCTCATTTCTATTGATACCAACATGGGATGGTTTTTAGATGATAGTTTGAAACACCATTTTCTGACTGCTGTTGGCAGATACAATGGGATGTATGGAGTATATATTTCTGATTGAGTCAATGGCGGGGACAGAATCGGTGCATATTGCTAATGATTTCTCATTAGCAATGAACGAATGTAATGCCTTAAGTTTTCCATACAATTCGGCTGTGTGTATACTGCCTCTTGGGAAAAGCCGATGTGATGCTACTATTGTGTTTGAGGTACTGATGGCACAACCGACGGCCTGTTCTTATTTGGAGGCATCTGTGTAGAGAATTTTGTCATAACGCTGTGTCTGTCTAAGTTCCACAAATGCTTGTACCAAGAGAGTTCTGGGCATTTCTTCTTTTTTGTATCGGTTCAAGCTGGTAAGGATAGTAGGTAGCTTTTTGGTCCACGGGGGAATTCTGGACTGAAAAAGGACACTGAAAAGTAGACGTTGTTGTCTTATAAAAAGTGGAGATTCTAAAGATTCGATATAAAGACTTTCAAAAGGACTTAATTTAAAGGCGCTGAGGCTAATGCGCAAAGAAGTGTTGTGAATTGTATTCAGACATTTAAGGTGAGTATTGGAAGCAGATATGTAGAGAATGCTTTCGTAACCCAACCTAGAGCGGATTAATGTTCTGTAAATTCTTAAGAAGACTTTCTCTTTTGCTAGAGTTTTTAAGATATTGATTCTATTTATGCAGTTTGTTTTTGTATTCTGCATCTGATCTCTCGATGTAAGTCTTTTATCGAATATTACTCCTAATAATTTGTGTTTATTAAACCACTTGGAGAGAAGATCCATTTATAGTGTATTTTTATGTATGAGAGAGTAATAAAATAATAAATTATGTATGCAAATCCCTAAACTGTTGATACGGGTGACTCAATGAAAAACAGATATTTGTCAACAAGTTTACAGAAGTATATAGGAAAAACAATTTTAAATTGAGTATGACCAACAGGTATAAAGGTTGGAGCAGAATAGAATACAATACTTGTGAGGGTTACTAAACCCTAAATAAGGTTGCCAGTGTCGGAGTGATGGAGGTTAACAGGTACTAATGAATTTGCAAGAAATGTAAGATGTTTATTTTATTGGTTATATATAACCAATTAAAGTTTAATAAGTACCTACCTATTTGCAAAATAAACTTTAGATAAAATAAAACGTTTTATTTTATCTGAAATGAGTGCATTCCACGAAGTAAGGGTTTCAACAATCAAACATTTAATTCTTTAATTCCAGGAATCTACGACAGTAATTGACTAGATAATTACCTTCTAAACTTATTCCACAGAAAATTTGATAGTGGGTTTTTCCATTTTGTAGGAAGGTCCAAGTGGCGTATTCAAAATTCTTAACAGTTCACTAAAAGTAGGGACTTCAGTTGCAAGGTGCAGTTTATTGTGTATACTAGTGTTATGGAAAATTTGGAAGTGTCGTGTAAACGCCGAAAAATTGGTCCTTTAACGGTTAATGAAAAAACATTAATATTTAATTGTTTTAAATCATTTACAGACAAACGTTTATGTGAAAGTGTTGATGAGACCGTTGAGTTAGTTAGCAGTACACTTGGTGTTGGGAAATCTACGATTTACAGAGTTATTAAAGAAAAGAAATGTGGTAGTTTTCAAATGCCACGTAATGCTCCAGGGAAACCAAAATTTCAAATAGAATATCATTTTAAAGAAGGACTTCGACGGAAAGTGCATGAATTCTTCTTTAGACAAGAATTTCCAACATTGGATAAAGTTCTTGTCTCAGTTCGAGATGATAAGGATTACCCAGAAATGAGTCGAAGTACGTTATGGAAACTTTTAAAAGAAATAGGCTTCCGCTGGAAAAAGAATCCCAGAAAGTCTATTTTATTAGAAAGAAGCGATATTGTCAAATGGAGAAGACATTTTTTAAGAACCATAAAGGAAATGAGAAACCAAAAAAGAAAAATATTTTATCTTGATGAAACATGGATCAACGAGGGTCATACGCCAAATAAATTTTGGCAGGATGAAACTGTTACAAGTCAAAGGCACGCTTTTGTAAATAACTTATCTACTGTTTTAAACCCACCATCAGGAAAGGGACGCAGGCTGATAATTGGCAGTTCAGACGGTTTTATTGAAGGTGGTTTATTAACTTTTGAATCAACTCGTACCGGTGACTACCATGAAGACATGAACGCTGATGTCTTTCAAGAATGGTTCGAACAAATGATAGATCTTCTTCCTAAGAACTGTGTAATTGTAATGGATAATGCAAGTTATCACTCTAGACTTATAGAAGGACTGCCCACAACCAAGTGGTTAAAAAAAGACTTGCAGAATTGGCTGAGTTCAAAAAATATTACGTACCATCCCGGATCTATAAGAAAGGAACTTTATTCGTTGTGTGCCCTTCATAAAGAAAAATTTAAAAAATACGAAATTGATGAAATTGCCAAAAATCGTGGAATGACAGTACTTAGATCCCCACCATATCATTGTGAATTAAACCCGATTGAACTGGTATGGGCACAGATAAAGAGTGAAGTTTCAAGAAAAAATACCACTTTTAAAATTCATGATGTTAAACAGTTGTTTTTGGAGGCCGTAAATAATGTAAAACCTGAAAAACTGGGAAAAGGCAGTAAATCACACTATTAAAGAAGAGGAAAAAATGTGGAAGCTGGAAAATATTACTGATAAAATGATCGAGCCAGTTATTATAAATCTTGGTTTTGAAAGTTCATCTTCTGAATCTGATTTGGATTTGTAACAAGTAGCTGTAAGTTTTATATTAATATTTTTATTCATCTATTTAACATACCTTAGACGGTTTTAAAAACTCTTTTTCTCTTTTGTAATTTTTAAAAATTAAAAAAAATGTAAATTTTTTAAAACCCTTTTTAATGTAGGCCAGTCAGTTCTAATATAGTGTGTGATAAAAGAGGTCACTTTTGTTTACATACACATAACACTTTATAACACTGAAATAATTCATTTATTTTTTACAATTAATTAAAGTAATCAAAGTAAAGTTAATCAAAGTAATTTTTCAATTAATCTTGAGCACGCCCATGGAGTGGTCGGAGATACCAGTTAAAATTATGCTAATTACTCTCTCGTTCATAAAAATAAACTATAGGTAAAATAGAGGAGGATGAGTGTAATATCTTCTAGAGAAGTTTATG